GGTCAGCATTTGACCTTCGCCCTGTATTACTGCTTTATTGCGTTTTGTTCAAATTTTGTAGTCCCGCAGTGGACTGATCGTTAAGACACGGTTCCCAGCAGATCACCGAAGTCAAGCATCACTGGCTACGGTCAGTGTGCGGGCGGGTGACCACTTGGATCAGTCTGCGTAGGGACCGAGGGTGTGCGGTATCGGTCCTCGTTAAACTGCTCTGCCGTAAAGTGCTCGACTTCGAGTGCAGGTTGTTGGCCTACCGAAGCGGAGGTGCCATCCTCTCTGCAGAGGATCAAAATTTTGATGGCATGTCTTCGGATCGTCCTCTGGGATGTTTCCCAGACCGTCGCCAATAGCCCATTGTGCAGTTCTAGTGCGACGTAAATTAACAACCAACCAACAATTATATGAAAGCCCACATTGTACAGCTTTAATCCACCTTAAATTTGTTTTGCTACTGATTTTCACATTTTATTTCTATTTTATTGTTTATCATTTAATGCTATGTTAGGTTTTTTATGTTAAGAATCTCATTTTATTAATTTGATTTAAATAAAATTTATATACAATTTGGAAATAAAGGTTTGTTAGTTTCTGAGAAAACTTAAATTACATTTTTGAAACTTGAACTTATCACATGTGTAACCCATTTTTCATCCCCCCCCCCAACAAAATAGACATTTAGGATTTTGTGAGCATCTTATGAACATTAACATTTCACTTTTAAACTATGGGCCAAAGAAAGTATGGCAGTTTAAAATTTGAAGGGAAAAAAAATAGGGAAACTCAAATGCAATCTGTTATTTGTTCTAGTTAAATAACAAATAACATGCATCTGATTGTGACAAATATCTTACCAAGCTACAAAATAATAAAAATATTGAGAGCGAAATTATGCAGTTCATTATTTGTACAGGAACGTTATTGTGAATTAGGTCGACGTAATATAACATAATAAAAAAAGAAATAGTGTTTAAATTTTTTTCTTTGTATGGGAATATCTTAAATTACTGGTTGACATTAAAAAAGGATTTTTATAAAAAAAAAAAAGAAATAATCAAGAATATTTTATTTTCTCCATCTCAATTTTTAAAGAACATCTCACCTTAAGCTATCTAAATATCTTACTAAACACTCAAAATCAGCAAAAAATAAAGTTATAATTACAACTAAAATTAGTAGTTTAGGCATTGAATCGTTTGCGAATCATTGAAACATTTTTTTCTTCAATACACACTAAGCTTCACATAAGCTATAGATTATGTACATATATATTTTTTTAACAAGATAACTTGATATTAAAAGTTAATCTTCTAATATTATAAAATATTGATATATACTAGTAAAATAATTTAAAACTCCATTGTTCATGCACCAATTTATTCATACTTTTTTTTTACAGAGAATTTTATGTAATTACTTGCCGGATAAGACTTAGCATTTTTTATTTAAAATATAACATTATTAGGCTGATCTCATTAGTTAAAATATGTTAATTTGAGTCATGCATAGTAATAATTATTTGAAAATAATAACCATTTTAAAATAATGCAGTGAAAAAATTTATTTATATATTTTAATCCTGACTTTCAAAATAAATAAAAAGTAATTTTCTTTTTATATATACACTTATTCCAAGTTTACTTACTGTGCATTTTGTTCAGTTACAACAGTTTGAAGCTGTAGTTTTTTTTCCAAATTTGGCAACATGTTATCCAAAACACATTGCTTTTTCTTAGCTATTAACTCTTCATGACTACCTTTAGAAGGTCTTCCTCTTTTTGCATTAGTTTTCTTTCTGCCAAATATTAAAAAAAAAAGCTTGTTAATTCGTAATTTAAAAATGAATCTTTTCTATTGATTAATAAAAACTAAATATTTTTTTACACTTTTTTTCAATTTACTAAATAAGTATTAATTGACACCAATTTTTAGTTTAAAATACATGGAGACTTAGTATTTCTTTCTTAGCAGTTCTTTTCAAATAGCTTTGCTCACTTTATTTACCTGTCCAGCCCACTATAGAGTGGTAAACTATACCAATTGAGTGGATAAGTATGAGAATATGAATAAAGTAATCAAGATATTGGAGTGGATTGATATTTATTTTTTGGAAGAAAAAAAAACACTTCAATTCATCTAAAATTAATTTGAAATTCTAACAAAAGGGACAATAACAGACAAACATGTTCATTAATAGACATCGAAATGAATAAACCTGTTTGTCTGCAAATGTCTTTTTTGTTTTAATTCATTTGCCTTTGTTTGAATTCACGTTCATTAACACGGCAAAGAAAAAAAATCATACTGCAATTTAATTACTCCAAAACTAATTAGAAATTTTTACAAAATTGAGTGTATTGTTCAACTTCAAACGTACATGACTGCAAAAAAATATACTTCAACTGCTAATAGTTTTCACAAAAATAAATTATGTTGGAAAAAAAAAAACCTTTAATTTTGGCACGAAATAAAACAAAAACTAATGTTCTTTTATTTGAATTATTTTCAAAGCTATATCTTTTGGCACTCACAAACCCCCGAGATTGCTGGTGCAGCTTTTTTCAGATCGCCTTGCTCACTCTTTTTGTCTTAATAACATACAAATTTTTAAAAAATCAAAATAAAATTATTATTTCATCATATGTTTCGAAACTAAAAATAGAATGTACTTTTATCATTGAACAATAGAACATTGTACTTTTTTCATTTGGATATTTTTTAAAGTTCTTCTTAGATGTTCTCAATTATATTAGATGTTCTTAGAATTGTATTAGATGCTCTTATTCTCAAAGAAAAATAAAATAACTGCATAAGTGCAGAATAAATAGAAATTCAATTCAAAAAAGCTAAAATGGAAACTCAAATGGAAGAGAGAAATAATAGTTTGTCGACGCACAGATATGTAACTTAAGTTCCAGAAGAAAAAAGTTTTTTTAAAAAAGAAAACATATAAGAGAGCGATATAGAAACGAACCTTATTTGTTCATTATCATCAGATAGTGATTTATTCTTTTTGGGTCTTCCTCTTTTCCCAGAAGTTTGATTTTTATTTTCATAACTGAAATAAAAAATAAATTAACGATAAGTAAAATCAAGGAGTTACATTAGTTATTTTAGTTTTAAAAATTTGAAGAAGAAAAAAAAAAAACGTCAATTTGCTTTATAATTAAATGCTTAAGTTATTCTGTAACAAGTTATTAAATGTGTTATCTAAAGTATAATGTATTAGGAGGAGTATAAATAAACAAGTAACAAATAAAAATGTGAAAATAACTCTGAAATTATGTCTATACAATGAATTTAAAGTTATTTCAATCAAGTTATTTAAAGTTATTCAAATACTGACTCATAATTCATTTTATTTGCAAAAGAAAAAAATCATGATGAGCACCTGGAAGGAAATTCCTGTCAGACCATAGGCACTACTTAAAAGTGATATAACTATATTGATAGTGTGATATAACTATGCAAAGCACTCTACGAATAAATTGTGATAAATAAAATTTGATTTGTAACAATTAAAAATTTTGTAAAGTTCAAATAAATTTTCAGTAATTATTAAAGCAATTTAAATTTCTTAGTTTCATACTCTCAGTCATATGCAACTGCATACCTGTCAACATTGGAGAAATAAAATAATGGAGATTTCACTAGCAACATTTTTTAGACAACGAGAAGTTTTGATACCTCATGCATAATCATTTAAGTCAAAAAGAGAAATTCAGAACTGGAAATAATATAAGCACCTACATTTAGCAAAGTAAAAAATATGTATATAAATCTATATGTATATTAATCTAAAGAAGATTTTTTAAAATCATTATTTATAATTACTTAAACTAATAACACTCAACGTATTGCAGTACTGGCAACAGCACCATCTGTTGAGGAATATGAGAAGTATTTTTGCCATCAAAGGATATTTTATAGCGAAAAAAATGTTTTTTTAAAAAATTTCTTCAACAAATAGGGAGAAATTTAAGAATATACAGGTAAACCAGAAATAGTCGTAAAATACATGAGTCTCCGCAAAAAAAAACAAGAGACTTGCCTAGTATGCGACTGACACAAACAAAAAGGCAAAAAAGTTCAGTGTCATTCACGGGTGACTGACGCAGCCTATATATATTGTTCAGTGTCAGTTACTCATGACTGATAACTCAATATGTTTAGTTTTAAGTTTTAGAATGAAACATTTAGAAACATAAGAATTGATGTATGTGACAAATTTTACTCACATATTTGGCAATGGGGGTAATGAGGTGTCACTTGAATCTGAACTTTCACTATCTTGAACAGAGTTTCTTCTATCCGTACCATTTTTTAATGCTTCTCCAGAAGAATTTCTTTCTCTTTTCATAGCTGTGTTAGGACTAGATGATTGCTGCATTATGCGACCATTAGTGAATAGAAACTCTTCTGCTGCTTCTTTATCTGGGATCAATGAATCTGTGAAATTCAGCTTCATAGGACAAATTAAGTCATCAGATGTATATTTAGAATTAGGTTTTCGCATCCTAGCTGATGACCTTTGGATGGGGGAATCTATAGATATCTCAGAGAATTAGTATAATATAGTTAAAACTAAAACTACAAAACAATAATTTTTGAATAAACAAAATATTTAGAACTTTGATTGAATCCAAGAGCAAAGCGAGGACTTTAAAAAAAATTACACCTAAAGAATATATTGATTAGTTACACTGTATAAAAAACATTTTACACTTAAATTAATGGGTTTTTTTTAAATCAACTTTTACTTAAATTTTGATTTTAATCAGACCAACCCTGCCAAAAAGTGTAAACTTAAATCAGGCACACTAGAGCTTTACTGTTCAAAAATTTATTGATTTACACTTAAAGAATAGTAAAAAAGAATTTTTTCTATTTATTAAGTTAATGATAATATATTTTTCATTCAGCTAAAATACATTTTTCCCCCTATTACTACATAATGGTAATTTACTCAGCTTAAAACACACCATATTTCAGGTTTACTGATTGCTAATAGGCTTCAACTCTATTATATGCCTATTCCCCTGAATATTTTAAATTTCATGAAAAAAAATCTGTGTTTGACTTTTAAAAGATTCAAGTTCTAATCAATTAATAGTATTTGTAATCCAGTTTATTAGTCAAATTAGGGATAATTTTGAAGGGTAATAATATATAAAATATTACTGTAAATAAACTAGTCATTAACTTTTTTTAGTTTAATTTTTGCATATTTTTCTATTTTAACTAAAGCGAAGCATGTTAGCAGAGTAGTTCTAATAGACTTAATCCTTTTACAGTCACTTTTTTCTTGTACGGTAAGACAGATAAATAGTGACATCGAAAACTGATTCTCAACGTTTAACTTATATTTCAGAACTAAGAAGAAAAAAAAATTTCTATTTCTCTTTTGAATCTTTTTATCAGCATTTTTAAAAGAGCATTTCTAATTAATATTTTTTTTATTTTTATAATCTCTTTTTTATAAAACTATGTCAATGTGAAAAGTTATGTATCGTTAAATTTTTTTTGTTTAAAAATTAAAAATTTGTTTTGGTTTATATATCTAGCTTTCTCTTTTTTCAAAAACTCTTATGTTTTTATAGACATTTTTATTATGACACAGCAATTAAGAGGGTTTCTGTTAGACTTTAATCTTCACTTTTTCTTGAATATACAGTAATAAAAAAATGTTTAAATTCAAATTTTTTTTTCAAAAATTAAGATAGATTTTTGTTTTTTCTGTTTTGCTTTTGCATATAATCTTTGTTTTTTTTTAAGGCATTTTCATGTGAGCACTGCACTTTTAAAAGAGTTTCTGATAGACAATATCTCTTTTAATGGATAATTTTCTTTTTGCACAAAATATTATTTTTAGCAGTAAAGTTTTGTTATAAGAATTAGGAGAATATTTTTTTCTCAATTGTACAACTTTATTTCTTTTTCTTTTTTAATAGCTGTAAGTCAATTTTCTTTATCTTTAATACTTTTAATTATCTTAATATTTAATTATTTTTATTATCTCAAACACCTCCATTGAAGTCGTTCTCCCTTTATCCCATACTAATAATACAGGTAAGTTTTGATTATTTTCAATAATGACTACATTTATTTCTATAACAAAGTTAATATTTATCAATGAATATTTTTTTAAAGAAAAATGTCGTTATTTGGCCGAATATTCAGCATTTAGCCAAATCACTATTCATTACATGAGTACATAAACAATTTTGCTCAGTAATCATTCTTTAAAATAGCATTTAATATTGTAATATAAATGCATAATTAGCATTAAAATAGCATAAATATTGTAATAAGAAATCTGTAATTTAATATTTTTGCTCACCTAACAGGCTGATATATTAAATACAATTTCTGCAGGCATTAAATTGTGCATGAAACTGATCGTTAAATTCTAAATCAATTAACAAGTAACCAATTTACAGTAATAATAGGAATTACACTATAATAAATAAACAATCCTTTTAGCTTAATACTCTTAATATAGAAAACAATCAAAATCAAAAATGAAATAATAACAATAAAAAAGAAAAATAAATATTACAGGTAAATACCTTTAAATTTAAGATATAAAAATATTCTACAGGAAAACAATATTTTAATGACTTTTAATATTATGTGAATGACGATCAATACATATGTATATATAGAAATTAATGTGGGAAAACTGGATCCTACCATGTAATTTTCCAGCCAATAAAAATTTACCGACACTAAGGAAAATATGTGATGATTAGATTTGTTTATATTTAATTGCAAACTATCTACAAATTACTATCGAACAACTGCATTTTATGACTTCCGAAGTAGATAATTGTTAACATTAATTTCAACAACAGATGATACCTATCATCATCGTTTATTACTAAAATTAATGTTATCAGTGAGTTATAGATTCATACGCTGCTTAATTTGGATCAAATAAGATACTACAGTAGAAGATCTACATAACACAATTCTATAAACTGCATTATCCTTAAAACAAACCGAAATAGATAAATTTGTTGGTTTTTACTTTAAATGAATTTGATAATTTAACTTTTTCCATTAAATAATAATTACTTGTGTGCATATTTGTGTATTTCAAAGAATTGTTATTTAAAAACTATTATAAACAATTAATATTATATGTCCCTAGATATATCGCCATGTTTAGTGATCTGTGAAATGATCTATACAACACATAATTCTATATAACAAAAAGCCTTCCTCTTCTAAGTTTGTATTAAAGAACTTTTAAAGTATCAAAAATATTGTCAGTATATTTAGAAATAGTCTATTCAACTTACCAACAGAATCTTTCTCTGAAGATCTAGGAGACACCTAAAAATTACATATATAATACAATCAATGATAAATCTTAAATTCTGATATCAATATAATTATTCATTGAAATTCAATAACTAAATAAAGATTTAATCAAATTAAAACATTAAGAAAAATCATAATCCTACAAATTAATTTTTATGGTCTTTAAATTTATATCATTCTGCACACTGTTTCCAGTTTTAACACTTAAGATTTACCGTAATTTCGTGTTTTTTTGAAGCTGCGGACTATCCATCAGTGCGGATAATACAGTGGTTGTTCACGGTTAAAATCGTTGAAATTTTAAAAAACACGCTGTCGTGAACTGCCGATAATCAAATATAAACACCGCGAGGCCTTTCTGGAGACCACTATCCAAAAGAGAACTAAATCTTTCTTTTCCTTCTGCCATATGAACAGCTATTGAGTGTAGGAAATGGGCGTGGAGTAGAGAAGCATAAATCAGAAAGGAATGAATGAAGGAAATCAGGGTGGGGCCAGTGATAACGTCAACTGTAAAACAAGCACTTCCCCTCCCCCGCTTTTTTCAGGAAATATGTCTCTTCCACTTGTCATGAATGCCTCTCTCCACTCCCCTTTTTTCTTCAGCTGCTTGTTAAAAACATGTGAATGTTTGATGAATAAAGGGTGCTGATGAACTTGGAATAACCTTGAATAATCTTAGAATTAAAATGTTCCAGAAGAATTTCAAACTTTCAACTGAAGGTCAGTGAAGAGGGGAAAAAGCTAAGTGTGTGAGAATTTTAGACAGGGGATAAAAGAAAGACCGTCCTAGGCGGAGTTATTTAAAAAAAAAAAAACCTGATTGGAGAAGCAAAAATAGGGGGAGGAATCGCTAAAAATAGAAACTTGTTTTAAATGCTTGGGAGAGCGCTTTTTATCGTTTTTTTTCTTCATTGCTCATATTTCTGTCTGATTTCGATCATCGTCCTCAGCTTATTATTATTTTTTTTTAATCGTTGCATCTTCAATTCTGATGCGTTTTTGTCTTATTAATGCACAGTATTTTGTTTTCGTATTTTGTCTTTCATCTTCAATAACGTTGATCCAACATTATGTATGTGAAATATCGCCAGAGTTTTACTGCTGAGTTTAAACTCAAGGTAGTTGTGAAAGCTGAAAAAGATGGAAATAGAGAAGCGGGCCGTTATTTTGAAGTGGACGAGAAAGCGGTGAGAAATTGGTACAAACAAAAGGATGTGTTAAAAAGAATGGGAAGAAAGCTATCCAATCGGCACGGAAAAGTAAAATGGCCAGCTGTAGAGGAAAATTTACTAAGATGGGTTCTCGACCAAAGAAATGCCGGACGCTCCATTTCAACAGTTAAAATCCGTCTCCGAGCGAAGGCCACGGCAGAAGAGATGCAGATAACGGATTTCAAGGGAGGAATAAATTGGGTTTACCGCTTCATGCATCGTAAAAACCTGAGAGTTCGCAGCAGAACGACAATGTGTCAGGCTGTTCCGCACGACGTAGATGGAAAAAAAAAGCTTCTTTCCTTCAGTTTACACGGAAAGTTATTGCAGAAAGGAAGTATTACCTAAAAAATATTATAAATATGGACAAAGTTCCATTAACATTTGATTGTCCACCGAATCGCACCGTCGATACTTGTGGAGTGAAAACAGTATCCATAACAACAACTGGACAAGAAAAGACCCATTTCACAGTGATGCTCGCCTGCTGTGCTGACGGCACAAAGTTGAAGCCGCTCTTAATCTTTAAGAGAAAAACAATTCGCAAGGAAAATTATCCTCGAAGCGTCGTAATACGGTGTAATGAAAAGGGTTGGTGCAACGAGGACATTATGCTCGATTGGTTTCAAGAAGTTTGGAAGAAGAGAGAAGGTGCCTTTTTCAATTCCAAAGGAGTACTAATTATGGATTCAATGAGGGCACACATAAAAGACAGTGTAAAGGCAGAAGCTAAAAAACAAACAAACATCAGTGCTGAACTTAGCGTTATTCCAGGAGGTTTAACAAAAATCCTGCAACCTCTGGATATTAGCGTAAACAAAAGTTTCAAGTCCCACGTACGTGCTTGCTGGGAGAACTGGATGTCGGAAGGTTTACATACTTTCACAAAAGGAGGAAAAATGAGACGCGCTTCATACACTGAAGTTGCCGAATGGGTCGATAAATCCTGGAAAAGTGTTNAACATTTTATTATTTAACATATTATATTTAACATTTAAATTATATTATTTTATTCTATATTCTATCATTATTCACCAGGAGTAGATAATTGATAACATTAATTTTAACAACAGATAATATCTAACATCATCATCATTTATAACTAAAATTAATGATATCATTATGTTATGGAAATTCAGATAAAATAGATAAATTTGTTGATTTTAACTTTAAATGCTTTTGATAATTTAATTTTTTCCTACGTATAATAATTACTTTCGTGCATATTTGTGTTATAAAGAATAGTTATTTAAAAACCATTTTAAAGAATTAATATTGATCTGTTCACAGATATATCGTCATGTTTAGTAGGCAGGTTTAATGATCTGTGAAATGATCTATACAACACATAATTCTATAGAACAAAAAGCCTTCTTTTTCAAGGTTTGTATTAAAGAACTTTTAAAGTATAAAAAATATTGTCAGTATATTTAGAAATAGTTTATTTAACTTACCAACAGAATCTTTCTCTGAAGATCTGGGAGACACCTAAAAATTACATAGATAATACAATCAATGATAAATCTTAAATTCTGATATCAATATAATTATTCATCGAAATGCAATAGCTAAATAGAGATTTAATCAAATTAAAATATTAAAAAAAATCATAATCCTACAAATTAATTATTATAGTCTTTAAATTTATATCATTTTGCACACTGTTTCCAGTTTTAACACTTAAGATTTAATAGTAAAAAAATCAAAGATAATAACACCTTGTTTCATTTAAGTTTGCGTAAACAATAATAGACAAATGAAATTAAAGAAACAACAGTATTACTTCTAGTATTATGTTACTAAGAAACATATTTTCAAACACGCAATTGAAATTTCAAAAATTTCACATGTCTATATATCTTTGAGAATCAAGAAAACAACAAGCAATATAACTAAAATCAATAAGTAATTTAAAATAAAGATTTTTAAACAATTATTTAGAACTATATTAATTTTAATTGCTATTAATGTGATAAACATGCTATATAAAACACAAAATAGTTACCTGTTTCTCTGTATTTTGAGGGATTTTATGAATATCAGATAGTCTACCACTAGTGTACAATTCTTTGGCTAAAAATTTAAATTAATAAAATTAGTTGTTATTTAAAAAGAATGAACCCAATAAACTTAATTACAGAATTTATTACATCAAATAATTCAAATTGGGCAGTAAAAACTTTTCAAAGAATCATTTCAGTTTTTACTACATTAAAAAAATTTCGATTTCAGACCAACTGTCATAAGGTTTCTCTTTAATTAATTAGTTTTGACTAAATATTTTTTTAAGATCCTCCTCATCTGTTTTAAAACAAAAAGATGATTTTTCTTTTACAAAGATTCTTAATTAAAATATAAGTTAAACAAAATTTAATACAGTCAGTGGCTTCATATGGGGAAAACCGGCATTATATTGTCCTGTTATTGTGAGTGAACAAAAGTAACATAAATGTTAAATCATAGCTAAAATATACAATACTAATTTTGACAAAGCAAAGCTTTACTTTAGAATTAGATTACTATCAGAATAACTGATAACACAACCTGTTTTTATGTTAATATATATAAAAATACCTTTTGAAATAATACTTTATGCCAAAAATGCATTAAAAAATAATTAACTGGTTTGGGATAGTCATTTTTGATAAATAATGTGTGTGAAAATAACTACAAAAACCATACGTTTTAACTTAGAAATAAATCACCCAAAGGTATAAATATTTCACAAAGAGAATTAACAGAGCTTTTAGGCAAGTAAAATGTGATTGATAAATTCATTGTAATATTTGAAAAGAAAACAACACAGAGTATGAATACATCTTTTGAAACCAGGTAATGGATTCATGCTGATTTCTGCTAGATGGTACAATATACACTTTTGATTACCAATTTTAATTAATATTTCACTACAGCTTTAGCCTTAGATCACCTGGAATAAAAATTTAGTAACTTCCGTTGCTCTTTTTTAATCAAAGTGAATTTTAAGATGTTTCATATTAAACATGGAGTAACATTAAAAGAAATAATGGTTTATCATGGCTTTAAAATATTTTCTAAATCAAGTTCATAGGCATGGATGTAAAACTCACGGACATGGATGTTATTTTAAAATCCAAAATGGATGTTATTTTAAAATCCGACATGGATGTTAAAATAACATGGTATTTATAGAATAAAAACAAGACTATACATAAATCGTTATAATGGAAGGGTTCTTCTAAAGTAAGCAGATAGGGATACTATAGTTAAAAAGGCAATATAGCACCACAGAGAATAAAATTTTCTGCAATTTAGAAAAGGAATAAGAATAATGAGTCAAGTAATAATTTGTTGTAAATTTCTTTCAAGAAAAAAACTCAAAAGTTCCACTGATATGTTCAATATTTCCCAATTTAAAAATGGAAGCAATATCTTTGCAATGACTTTGAATCTCATAATACTGTATAATTGTATATATATAACAACTATCTGATTTCTTTTAAATAAAAAATAAAAGAAACTGGATCACATCTCACCTAATTTTAATGAAACACGTTTCTTAACTTTGGCACCAGTTTCATCTTCAGATGAAATACTTATATCATCCTCAAAAGAAGAAAGATCACTTGTATGTACAGAGCTAATGGATCTGATGGAATAGTCATCTTCATCATCACTAACTAATAAAAATATACAATAAATAAGTTACTTTAAGGTTTTAAAAATACAAAAAAAAAAAATTTCACGAAAGCAAAAATTTAAATAAACAATATTCTGATTTATTTCAAATGAAAGATGTGATATAAGAAATATTTTAGAAGCAATAAATAATATCAAAAATAAGCAATAAAAGTGTTCATAGAGTATTTTTGTATTTTCTTTAGAGTTCATCTTTAATTGCTCTAGATCTATTTTGTTCAGTAATGAACAGATTTTCTTTATTACCAAATTTGTATTGTCATTATTTCTTATGAGCACTGAAACTATGATTAAAATCAGAATTAAATATTGCAAGATTAAACATCAGAAATAAAAAGCTTTTTTTAATGTAAGACATCTACTAACCTAGGACTAGGAACCCAGGAAAATAATTAAGGTGTGCAAAAAAAAAGAAAATTATATTCTCACTAACTTTTGATCAAATAATCAGATTATCATTTAAAGATGCAATCTTAAGGGTTATGAGGTATACCTTAAATATGATGATTAATCAATGACAACACTACTTATGGTTACAAACTCAGGCCACAAAACATATTTCCCATTAATATACCTTTTTATTATGAATTTATCAACTTAATTATTTCTTTCTTAATTATATTTCAAATGTATTGCCCTAAAACTTAGTAGGGGTGTACAATCTTTTTTAATGAAGGGCCACTGGCACAGCAGGTTGAATAACTAAGGGCCGGAAGTGTATTCAGACATGAAAACAGCAAATAAGAAATTTTTTTATGTAAATATAAGCACTAATTTTCTTAATCCACCCGTCGGTGTTCCCACCTTATCATGGTGTGGGTTTGTGTGTGTTGTCGATCCCGAGAGCTATGCCGGCGGTAGCTTAACTACTGGCAGGGTCACCCAAGCCGGACAGGTCGGAGGGGAGACACCAGACAAAGAGGAACGCCCTGGTCCTCCAGGTTGGGGGTTTGGCGAGGGGCTAACTACCCCACACTGTAAAAAACTTCTAGTTCAGAAACCTCAACAATGTGTGGAAACCGGCAGGACTCTACCCAGACAACTTGGAACGGAAAAAGACTTGAAAATTGGCACTTCGAATGTTCGCATCCTATATAAAGGAGGTGCCCTGAAAAACTTAATTGAAGTACTTGTCAACAGGTGGCTGTCAACAGGTACAGATGGCTGGGACAAGGCATTTTGGATAGGAAGGATTGCAGAGTTTACTATAGCTGCCAAGAAAAATTCCACCAGTTTGGTGTCAGATTTATCGCAAGCAAAAAACTAAGAAACTTAGTTATTGATTTTCAGACCATGAGCATGAGGATCTGCAAAATCAGAATCAGGGGAAGACATTACAATATCACATTGATCTGCGCCCATGCACCAACCGAAGACAAAGACTAGGAGGAAAAAGATCTATTTTATGACCTACTTATGAAGTGTTCATGCCCTGTCCAGGATGTAAAGCTGGTTCTAGGAGACTTCAATGCTAAGGTTGGAAGAGAACAATTTATTAAATCCTATGCTTCTGCTGAATACCTACACCCTGAGACTAACAGAAACTTTTGATTTTGCTGTTTCAGAGAATATGTTTATATCCAGTACAGCATTCCCGCATAAGAAAATACACAAGTACACCTGGCGATCCCCAGACGGTTTAACCTTTAATCAAATAGACCATGTACTTGTTGATACAAGACATCGTAGCAATGTGTTAGATGTGAGAAGCTACAGAGGAGCAAATGCAGACACTGACTACTTTCTGGTCATCTCCAAAGTTGGACTTAGGTTATGTAAGAAATTTTACTCTAAGAGGGAAAACACCATTCCTAAACTAGACATCACTAAACTAAATGATCCCAGCATCCTTAAAGAATTCAAGTGCAAACTATCTAGATCCATTGAACTGGAAAAAGAAATTTCAAATATCATCTTCGATTGGAACTTAGTTAAGGAAATCATTTTAAAATCAGCACGTGAAACCATTCCATGCTTAGAACGTAGTACCAGAAGAGAGTGGTTTGATGACGATTGCAGGAAAGCTACTGAGGAAAAGAACAAAACATACAGACTGATGATACAAAAACATTATATTAGAAGTTATGAGGAAAAATACAGGGATCTGAGGAAAACAGAAAAGAAATTAAAAAGAAAAGAAAAGAGCATATCTATTCGAATCTCTAAAGCTTCTAGAAAACGGGACTAACCAAAAAGAATGTAGGAGATTCTATAAGCTAGTAAATAATATGAGAAGAGAATTTAAACCAAATTCTATCACCTGCAGAAATAAGAATGGAGAACTTGTGAGCAAACTTCATCACGTGCTAAAAGTCTGGAAATGCTACTTTCAAGATTTGCTTGAAGCAAAAAATACTCTCAACTTAGAGAACAGCCCTGAAGAACTGAACCCAGTTCAACACTTAGACATCCCCCCACCATCTCTAGATGAGGTTGTCCCAGCAATTAAAAAACTTAACAACAATAGGTCGGCTGGTCCCGACTGTATACCATCTGAGCTACTAAAAACTAAAGAACCAGAGCTTCTTAACGCCATCTATAATATCATGGTTAAAATTTGGGATACGGAGAAATTGTCCATTGAATGGGAAGAAGGCTCCATTTGCCCCATATTTAAGAAAGGAGACCAACTCGAACTCGTAACTATAGGGGCATTACACTCCTCAATACGGTATAAAAAATATTCTCCAACTTGCTTTTTACAAGACTTCTCCCTTTTATCGACAAAATAACTGGAGACTACCAATGTGGTTATAGATCACAAAGATCTACTACAGATCAAATTCACACCCTGAAACAAATTTTAGAAAAAACTAAGGAATATAATATCAAAACTTTTCATTTATTTATAGACTTTAAAGCTGCTTACAACAGCATAAAGAGAGATAAACTACTGGAAGCAATGGCCGAATTTGGGATCCCTACTAAACTCATTAACTTAAATAGAGCTTCACTATAATATAAGATGCAGGGTTAAAATTCAAAATCAATTATCGGAACCATTTTCAATAGAGAGAGGCCTGCGTCAGGGGGATTTCATCGCCTGTCTACTCTTTAATCGAGATCTGGAGACACCCTTTGGATTTGGAATAGATCAGTTCAATTTCTGGCATATGCCGATGACATCAATGTCATAGGAAGGTCAGAGAGATCAGTGAGAGAGACCTTTCTGGCTCTTGAAACTTCTGCCACAAATATGGGCCTTACCATCAACAAAGATAAAACTAAATTTATGGAATCTCCAGTCACAACTGTAAATCATGATCCTTTATTCATAAATGGTTACACCTTTGAAAAGGTTAATGAATTCAAATACCTTGGAACAATGATCAATGACCAAAACAGTATAAAAACAGAAGTAGACAACCGAATTAAAATGGCAAACAAGTGTTTCTTTGGACTAAGAAAGCAATTAAGATCAAGTCTAATCAGTCGAAAAACCAAAATTAAAATTTATAAGACTCTTATTCTACCTCTATTGCTCTATGCAAGTGAAACATGGACACTAAATGCAGACACTCTGTGTACTCTTGGTGTTTTTGAAAGGAAAATCCTTAGAAATATTTTTGGCCCAGTACAGGAAAGAGGCTGTTGGCAAATCAGATACAACTTTGAATTATATAGACTCTATGGACAGCCACAGATAGTGCAGGTCATCCGAAGCAATAGATTAAGATGGCTTGGCCATATCTGGAGAGATCCAGAAAACAACGCAGTACGAATTGCTACCTTTAAAAATCCTTCTGGATCTCGGGCCAGAGGAAGACCTCCAACTAGATTGCTGGAAGACACTACTAAAGATCTCCAAGCAATAAAGATTAACAATTGGAAAAAAGTTGCCATGGATAGGAGGTGTTGGAGGCTACACGTGGTTGAGGCAGCCAAGGCCTGTAAGGGGCTGTCGTGCTGAAGAAGAAGAATTTTTTTAATCAGTAAACCTGGAATTTATCAGTAATTATTTTCAGAAAATTAATTTTTAATAATACTTTTAATTATTAAAATTCATTCAAAAAGGAAAAAACTGATAAAATTTTTTATAAAAAATTTCTCTTTTTAAAAAATTCATATATTCAAAAAAATATAAAAATTGGATTAAAGAAATGTTTTTTTTTCTCATGTCAATTTGTGTAAAAAATCATTATAAAATAAATTCAAACTTTAAAAAAAATAAAAATAAATTAATAAAAATGTAATTTTGCAGAATGAAAGCATAAAAAATAAATCAATAAATACATATTTTGATGAGTAATATAAATTCAATTTAAATATTATAATTGAAGAAAATTTATAAGGTTTAAACAAAAAACAAAGATTAAGATAAAACCATTTTAGTACAAAATGAGATTCAATATTTATTTGGTATTATACTCTTGATATTATTTCTATTTCTACAATTATGAGTGGTTTCAAAAATTTTAAATATGAAACGGTGTTTTTTTTTTTTTTTTTTTTNTTTTTTTTTTTTTTTTTTTCATCCTGAAAAAATCATTTAAGTTACAAAGAATTTTTTAAAAAAATGAGCAACTTAAAAATTTAGTTTTCCGACACTTCTCGAATTCATCATGCTGCAATTACATTATATTAAAATATCAGAATTCTGTATTACATTGTATTAAAATATTGGTATACATAGCTGTTACTGTAATGGAATTCAGTGGATCGGAGAACAACATGTTTATAAGAACATTACACAAACAGAGAGTTACACAGTTGGAACGTACACTGGGACAAGAGAAATAGAGTTACTCATAAATATAGTCTTCTTGGGCTCGAACTTAACATCTAATCAGAACATTTTGATAGCATGTGAACATAGAAAAAAGCTGCTTCAGATAAATGTGATTGAAGTTTTTCTTCAACACCTACCCTTAATCGCAAAATACATAAATGCAAATAATATTTCCTGTGTGCGCCATTTTTACAGGATTTAAATCATGCATTCTGAGAACATGCTCCCCTCAGTTTAGTCTATAAATCTTGATAAATTTTACGATATCGGGATCCTTAAAGCATCTATAAATTTCTGCATTGTATCACCTTTTTCAATTTGAAAAGTTATTTTCTCTACTCCTTCTAAAAAAGTGTTTCTAAAATTTTTTTTTCACTGAAAAATATCAAAATATGACTTATCAGATCTTGTCAATATCCCTGTTTCTGAATTATAAACCAAAATAGGTCAAATACGATTTTTTTATATAACAAACATTTAGTTTTTCAGCAAATTAACTATGACTTAATATTTCTTAGCCAGTTAAAAGGTTTTATTAATAAGCATTATTCTGCTTTTTATTTCACACTCATTAAAGATAAAATACCAAATCAAGAGTTCAGAAACTAAAGAAAATTGAAGCCGAAAGTTTGCACAGTAAAATAATCTGTAATAGAAACTTATAATTTACATAGTAAGAATATTTTATATTTAATCATATTTTTAATAAGCTATAGAATTAATTAGATTGCAATATGCATCAAAACATCCTAAGTTCTTTAAGACATAAATATAAATATTCAACAAAGTATGTTCTGTACTCCTAGAAATTTTTTTTTATTTACTTAAAATAAAACTACTCTTTTCCTGTCAGTTAGAATTCTGCCATCAATCAATGAGCAGCCTGATAAAATGAGTAAGAAAAAGAAAAAAATATATATATACTAGTCTTTATAAAGCTGCCTAGAATAAACTTTAAATCAAAAAGGCTGTTCTTGAGATGGTCACCTTCCATATCATGTGTCCATGTGACGCAGTTGGCAACCAGCTGAATTCCATCCAGCGTAAATGTTTAGACTTAATTTACAGCCTTAAAAAATATAATTACTATTTATTTATTGACAATATTTGAAAAAAACTTTACAGTTTATGAAAATCACCTGTAAAGACTATTTTTTATTACATTTTTTGATAAAAAGTATCGATTTCCACAGTATGGAAATTAAATTTTCAATGTCGTAAAAATGTAATCTTAATTACCTATTATTACTTCCACATGAGAGTTTTCATTATTAGTACTGACATTAGATTTATTTCTATTGTTAGGCCCTTTTGAAGGTGATCTCAAATCAGAACTAATTATATTACTACAAGTCATACTGAGACTACCATGTTTCACCAATGAAGTTTCTTTTTCTGTGCTATTTTTTCTATTTCCCTTTTTAGCATGTGATTGACTTGGAGACATTTGTTCAGACAATCTTCTTTTTGAAGGTCCTGAAGTGCCATTAGAACCTATGAAGATTTATGAAACAAATATATTTTAACAGTAAAAATTAAATAATATAGAGGAAAGCAATTTAAAAACATAAAAACTACAACTTAGTATGGACCATTTTAAACAGTATGGATTTAAGAATAATTAGGACAAGAAAATCATGAGGAATCTAGTTTGAACACAATTTTTCTATTCCAGTCATTTGCAGTTAATATGATACTAACTAATTAAATTAATGATTGACTAATTAAATTAATGATAATGGAGCACTTTGTATTCTAAAGAAAACAAAAACACTATTGAAAGAGCAAACTAAATTTTAAAGCGCAATGCAGACACTAGAATGCTTTCAAAACAAAATTTATACTTTGAAAGATTAATTCTCTCAAAGTTTTAACAAGAAGAAAGAATTTAAACTTAAAAGCAGGGTTTGTTGATTTAAATCAGCTTGATTTAAATCAAGATTTAAATCAAATAATTTTTTTAAAAGAAATAATTGATTTAAATCAAAGGATTTTTATATACATATTGATTTACAAAATTAAAAAACAGTGTTTTAAATTATTGATACTTTTATTATTTCTTTTCTTAGTTTTAAAATTTATTTGAAATAATTTGCTGCATTAATTAATTTTAGTTTACGAAATTACCTTCTTTCTTGGTGTATGTAAAATTCCAACACATTTGAAATTACATTTTTAAAAATCTTTTGATTCTAGAGATTGAAAGTACAGATTAAAGTAAACATTTAATGCTGTCTTAATATAGTCGCATAGCTGTAGAAAGTAATTAGTAAACATGAATTTTTTTCACAACAAAAATACAAGTGCTAATTAAAATTCTACCTTTTGATTGAAAAAGCATGAAATTAAAATCTATAGAATATTTCATTGGTGGAAAATATATATTTCTAAAGTTTGAGGTTATATTAAAAAGAATTCTCTATTTCATCCAATCTTTAAATTTCAATCATGCATTTGTTTCAAAAATTTGTTTGAAAGCTATATATTATAATGACAAATTGTTTTAGGTAGTTAGAGCTTCTGAAATATTGTTGTAATATAGTTTTAATATTAATTTAATTTCGATTAAAAATTTATAAAAAATTTTTAATCAAAGTTTTTAGTGAATTTGAATAAAAAATAAAAAAAATCTGATTTAAATCAATAAAATCAGACTTTTTTTGATTTTTCTCAAAAAAATCATGAACCTTGCTTAAGAGTAAAGTTTTAAAGGTTTAAATTTTAAATATTACCATGAAAAATTCACCTTCATGGCAAGGGTGAAAAATGAACAAATTTAAATATCAATATAAATTTCAATTTTGAAGATATGATTGTCCAAAATCAGGGTTGGCAGGTTTTTGACATGTGACAGTTTTTGACGGTTTAAACCATGGTTTAAACCATCACGTCAAAAACCTCACAGTCAAAAATGTCAAAAACCTATATTCATATGTGAAATTTAATTAATACATAAAATTTATATATTTTTTTATAAAGGATAGTGTTTCTAAATGTGTTCTAGAAAAATTAAATTTAAAATTTTGAAGAAACACTTATATTTTGAATAGTAACCAAAATCTTGTACTTTTGAAAACTCACATNATTTAGAAACACTATCCTTTATAAAAAATATATAAATTTTATGTATTAATTAAATTTCACATATGAATATAGGTTTTTGACATTTTCGACAGTGAGGTTTTTGACGTGACGGTTTAAACCATGGTTTAAACTGTCAAAAACTGTCACATGTCAAAAACCTGCCAACCCTGCCTATAGTATAATTAAATTTCAATATAATGGCAACTATTGGTAGTTTTGAAGTTTATATATTTTCTTAGCAAACTTCAGTTTTTGACGGTTTAAACCAGTATTATACCCTTGTCTTGTCAAAACCCTCTTTTTGACGTCAAAAACCCAACCCTGTCCAAAATGCTTCAAACATTTTGCAGAACTGACATATCTTAAAAATTAAATGAATAAAAAACATATAAAATTCTTTAACTTAAATATAAACTGAGGTAGCATACATTTTGAAGATTGCAATTAGCCCAAAGCAATTACTATGAAGGATCTGTTGTCTGAGAACTTTAATCTGAGGTTAGCATTTCCTGATATCACTATTGTTTTTATTTCACTGACAACAGTCACCTTGACATTTATTTATTATAAAAGAAATTCATCATTTTTATTTTATTTCATTTTTCATTACAAAGCAACTTGCATGAGTTTTTTTATAATTGTGTTATTGTATTTATACTTTTAAGATTGGCAAATTTCTACTTTTTTAAAGTTTCTTTTGAAGGGACATTTTATTAGATTTATATTTTAAGAATCGGAACAAATCACTAGAAAAAAAAGTAGTATAAGTTTTATAAACAATTTTACCATGTGATAACTCAGGATCATTGTCTTTGCCAGTGCGACAAATAAGTTTTCCAATATCTTCTAACATAATGACCGCTTCTGTTTTATCTGTTGTTTCGGAATTTGTCCCATCATCATGCTCAATTATTACCTTGTTTATCATAGACATGAGTTCATCTTTTAGTTTCTTTTTAAGTACATCCGAAATAAGAGTGTCTATAGTGTAAGTCATTATACCTAAACTAAAAAAGGAATAATGCAAAATTAAAATAAAACATTAATTAAAATATTATAAGAAAAATACAATATATAATGTTTTTAGAATCACGATACAATGGAATGTTAAAGTTATTTATATAAAAAAAAATATTTAAAATGCTATTTCCCTCATATTGATTTCTATTACATACAGTTTTTAATGATACTTTTAAAATATAGCACCTTGCACTTTTTAATGGGTGATACACTTGTTCTAGAATATTCGTTCTGATTCTTGTTCGAGAATTTTTGTCCTTGGTGTTGAAATACTAGAGCTCATTCCAGAAACTCTCTTACACTGTGCATAACATAAAACTCAATAACATAATTGAAAAAATATTGATTTGAAAAATACAATGCACTGTTGCATAAATACATTTTTCATGTTAAAAATTAATTTGAAAATTCATATCTTTCATTTGAATAAAAATGAATAATTTATTTCTTCACGTGAACATTTAGTATTTCTTATAATTCTAAAGCAGAATAGGGAAATCCTACAAAAATAATTGGACTCCATTACTGTCAGTAAAATTATTACTAATTATGATTATTGATAGCTTAATTATTAATCAAATTAGAAGTATTTATTAATGGCACATGACAAACTCTAAGACTAAAAAGAATTTTTAAAAAATTAAGAAAAATTCAAGCAAGAAAAAGCCAAAAAAAAACACTTAAAAAAAAAGGGGGGGCTGGGTGTTTTCTCTCTCTCTCTCTCCTTTCTTTATTTTTTTTGAAAAACTCTGAATTTTTTACATCTCGGGCAAGCATCCACTTTAATAATTAGAAATTTCAAAAAGTTCATCCTATTATTTCAGATTTAAAAAAATCATTCATCATAATCAATAAAAATTTAACTTAATTAAAAACAGGCTAACACATTGAAAAACAAAAAGAACAATGTATATATCATACTACTTCTTTCTCTTTCTGTATTTATATAAATACTACACACAGAGAGAGACAGATGAAATTTTTAGCTTTGTTTAGGAGCGTTGGAAATGGGTGAGCGAGTCCCGGAATTATGTTTAAAATTTTTTTTATTTAATACAAGCTGAAAAACTAGCGATACTAAATCCTTATAAAGCACATTAATAAAAGGGAGAAATGTATAACATACTCAGTAAAAGTTGTTCTGGTTTTCAATTTTTCTTCGTGGTCTTTAGGTTTAGTGGCATAATTTTTGACAGATGTTTTAATAACTTGTTCAACCATGTTCTTTAATCGCACATAACTTGGCTGAAACATAAATTAAAAAATATTATTTTTGACAAAATTTGTTTCTGTTATTTATAATTAAATTGAGAAAAGAAAATATTAAAATATTTGAATAAAAGCAATAAGTTATTAACATACATAAATATATAGGATATACATAAATATAACTTCAACTTTATAATTTTGTACATTAAAATAAAATTTATTTGCCATTGCTACCACTGTTTCTCAGTTACATTTCAGTTTTTGCATGGAAACTGTTAAACTAACAAATATGGAAATGTGATAGAAAATAGGAAAAAACCTATATGGAAATGTGATAAAATATAGAAAACAAAACTACATGGAAAGTACAATTGATTTACAAATCTTAATGTTCATTAATTATTTTAAGAATTATAAACATTAGTATTGTAGTAAAATGAACCAAATAGCATGTTTTGGAATCTAAAATAATGCAGTTATAAAGTTGAAATTTGGCATACTATAAGCACTGTTTTTATTTTGAAGAGTAACATTATCCAATGTTTTCAAGAAGGGGAGATTTCCGTATCCTGATCTGTGGCAGAATAATCGCCAAGTCTTGGAAACTTCCGGGCAGCGGCCCGCGAGAAACTAAAGAAAACATCACAGAAAGTAACTCATAACCACCCCCAAAACATCTGCATGTTTTTTTTTTTAAAAAAAAACTGCAGATTTAAAATATATTTGGCATCTTGGAAATTATAGTTGACGCGACAGATCAAGATGCAGAAATATCCTCTTCAAGAAAACGTACTTAACTCCTACGCGTGATCAAGAAATGCCAGGGATCCCCAGGTCATTACATTAAACTAAATGTACATGTTGTTTAATTAGGAAGTATCTTCCAATTATTTATAACACAATTAAATTACAATATATTAGTAAACTTCAGCTAATATTTATTTCCACTTTTTATTTAATTTTATAACCGTCGTTTAACAGCCGACCCAATTTTGGGTTTACGACTACCAGTGTTTTCATTGCGGAAAAGAAATGGGAGAGAATTTCTCATCCTTTCTCAAAAACTGGGTGAGATTTCAAAAAGTTAAGTGAGATTTCTAAAAATTAAAAAAAAAACACGAATAGACTTGGAAAAAAATATTTCTTTAATTATAATACATTTTTAACATCTTCTAATTTCTAAACCATTGAATATTTTTGCTGCATCATCATATGGAAAATGTTCTATATCTACTTTTTCATCAGCTATTCTCATTAGGTGGCTGAAATGTTCATTAGTCAATCTGTTACGATATTTTGTTTTAATTCGGTTTTGGGTGCTAAATGACCTTGCAACAGATGCTGCACTATTCGGAATCACTAATTAAATTTGTAGTATTGTGCACACACTTTCCTATCCTCTACATCTGCCAGCATAGGCTTCTCAATTATTTCTGTTATAGAATAGTGAAGTTCATTGAAGTTATTTCCATGTTCATACTACTTGTTAGGTTTTCCAGCATAGTTTTCACAGACTTCAACTTTTACAAATTGCTGCAAATTGCCGATGAGGGAGTTTGGTAATTCATTAACAGCTAAAAATAGAGCTAACTTTAAACAACTTATTATAAAGGACTCATTTTTTCCCTCAACACTTGCAGCTGTTCCCATGTCTTTTTCAAAATGGCGGATTTTATTCAATGGGCGAAGACAAAAATTTTTCCAAAATTTCAGAGATTCGAGCATTTTAAAATAGATTAATAGAGTGCACGAACTTCCTGCGTTAATAATTTTTTAATGCGAGAATCTCGCGTTCTCGTGCTGTAATGAAAACACTGACTACTAATGTTCAACTCTGTAGAATTGTAATTTTGAAGAACTCTAAAAAACAAGGAAACTCCTGGATTAGTTCCCCCAGAGGCATGATTTGTTGTAGGAACATGGAGGACTTTATGACTCAACAGATTTAACATGCATCAGTCACCATTTAATACACAGGGAGTCTTTGTCCGACGGGGATTGTACCCATGCCCTCTTGGACATGGGTCCGGTGCCCTACCAACCATGCTTTCCCGGCCCACATTATTTCCACTTCTGTTAAATCATAACTGTAATAGAGAATTCTTACGAGAAAACACAAAAGAAATTATTTCTAACATTTAGGAAGCCTTAGCCTGTCAGGCTTTATGATAAATCATTCACTGCCTAACTCTTTAAAGATAGAAACTAGAACTGTTTCTCTAAAAAGAGAACATCTCTCTCTGTTCAACTAACATAAACATACTTACATTAAAGTTTGTGGGCGAAATTTGTCTACGGATTATTATAGTCCGCAGTTGCAAAATTGACTTATTTCCTTATCTGTCTAGTGCAGGGATGGGCAAACTATGATCCGCGCACTAACTGTGGCCCGCCAGAGGGTTTTATCCGGCCCGCGGATAGAATTTTAACTTACCAATTTGTTTTCTTGTCTACTTTGTTTGAAGTTATTTTTGTTCTTTCTTTTTTAACGAAGTAGTGATGACCTTTTATTTTCTCTATTTTAGTTCTACAAAGCATAAATTGATAAAAATAATTAGCTCAGACAGCTTCAATTGGTAAAATGTTGAAAGCAGAAGTTTTTTATAGAGAAGCCGTAGATTGGCGCCTTCTGAAGCAGTTGTTTCTAAGTATGCCAAAGTATGAGTTTTACAAATCATTACCAAAAACTAGTTTCTCAAATTTAATATTTCATGCCCAGAGAGTCAGTGCTATGTTTGCTTTATCTGATATACGCGAACAAGTGTTTTCAACAAGATTGGTAAGTTTCTGCAGAGGTGATTAAAACCACTGGTCGAAACCGGTTAAAACTGACATGGCAGAAACCCTTTTCTGCCACATTTGTGGCAGAAAATGGCAGAAATTCAGAAAAATGACATAAAAGTAAGTACTGAGATTGGCATACAATGGATAATTCATAGAGAAATCAATTAAATGTTAAACGAAGCACAATTTATGGTCACTGTAGATGTAGAAATATTTTAACTAACGAAATTGCTGTTTACATTTATGAATCAGTGAATCTAACCAATTATATTGCCTCTTACATACAGCAAAGATTAAAACTGTTACTGTTATAATAATTGGATTGTTGCCATGCAAAATTATGTCTTGGAAAAGAAAAAAAAACTAGTATTTGAAAATAGCTCTATTCAGTTATGTTAAGAGTTAAATGATAATAATTACTGGATTTCAGAGTTTAATGTAATAAACTAAAATCTAGTATTTATATTTATTATTACATTACTTTATTCTTTATTTTATAGAAATATTTGATATACTGCACTCTTTATATTTAATATAAACAAAATATATATTTACAAAAAATGAATTAAAAAGTTTGTTACAGTTACATGGAGTTAAATTTTTCAGTTTACTTAAACAAAATGTCATTATGCAATTACTAGAACTAATATAGATGTTTTTTTAGTTTCTGCGGGTTTTTACCGGTTATAACCAGTTACTGCCACTGGCATGGCAAAAATCAGTTTCTGCCGGCAAAAAGTCAACCCTGGTTTTCAACTATGAACCTTAGAAATAATCATTTCAGATGTAGACTAACAGACAAACATTTAGCCTTAAAATAAGTACATCTCACTTCAAACCTCAATATAAGGAACTTTAAAAAATGAAATTGCAATTTCATGCATCTCATTAAATATTTAAAATAAAACTTATATATCGGTTTTTTAATTTTAGATGTTTTTACTTGGCCCTCCAAACGTTTTTTTCGCGATTTTTTGCGCTCGACCATAAAAGTTTGCCCACCCTTGGTCTAGTGCAACTAACCAATTGATCTGCAGCTTTATAAACCACCCATCATCAAGTATAATCTTTTACGTCACGCAACATCTTTTTTCTTTATATTAATCTATAAATACTCACTTTTCTCAGTAGAGCGCCGATTATCTGTACTGCTCGGGACCGAACGTGGTTCGGATAGTTGAAAAGTTGCTTAAAATCTAGTTTAAATGATTATTACTTATGCACTAACTTCCCTTCACACTTTTTCTAAGCTTAGGACTGGTAGTACTATCTAAAATAGCTCTGGCGTGTTTAAAAGCTTTTTTCTTTCAATTTTTAAATATTTTTATTTATTATTATTTCTTTTTTACTTTTTTTAAATTTTGAATTATTCTTATCATATTTCAGCTTTTCATAATTTTTTTGGTCAATTACTGATTTCACCACATTTTTCTTTATTTACCATTGCAAAAGAAATCCAGCAGACTTTTGTTTCAAAGATGCTCTTTTTTGAGCAGCCATATCCCTTATTCTTTTTAAATAAATCAACTGCACTCGATCAACATTATTTCAACGTTCTAGCCAATTCATTGCAATATCTAATGAATTGTATGCTTCTATATGAGAAGGTCCACTATCTTGAACTTGATCACCTATTTATTCCATCTGTGGAATTCCAATTTTCATTCAAAATTTCAGCAACAATTTCCTCATCATTTAAAATTTGAAATCCTGAGTCGTTTTCAGTGTCTCGACACCAGTCTTCTATTTTTTTCTGCTGTATAAACTGGCATCTTTTCATCCGGAAGATCTACTGGTTCAGAAACTTCAGTTTCGTTTGTTTTTCTGCTAAGAATTTTATTCCAAGATTTAAGATTCCAAGCACTGTAATCACTAATCATTAACCATAAGTGACAACTACCCATCCCCCAGTTGTAAAATTTCAGCACTTATCTATTCATAAACACATTCCGCCTTCCAACAGTTGAAGATTGTCTGATTGTCAAAATGAAGCTCGCATTCTTTGATGATAATTTTCAGTTGAAGAGGGTTAAAGGGGTATGTAGGTTTAACTGTAT